GGGTTAGGAATGTGGTTTAGTGGTAGAGTGCTTACCTAGCATGCATGAAGCCCAGTTTGATTCCTCAGTACCACATAAACAGAAGTTGGAAGCAGCACTGTGGCTCAAGTGGTAGAGTGTTAGCCTTGAGCAAAGGAAGCTCGGGGACAGTGCTCAGGCCCTGAGTTCAAAGACCCAAGCCTGGCAAAAAAAAAAAAAAAAAAAATGGAGGGGAATAACAATGATCAGACATGAGAAAATGATAGCAAACAGAAGAATTCTGTGGCTTACAACTAGTATTTCTCTTTTGTGCATGTCAACACATTAGCTTTAGATCATTCAGCTCAGGGTTCTGCGGCTGTTTCCTATGTCTTTGCCACAGTGGGATCCAGGCTTCTGGCCTTTCAAGAGAAAATAACAATAATGGTCGAAGCCCAAAATAGTCTCCTTGGAAATCAGCCCATCTCTTCTCTCATTCTGTGAGGCCCAGCAATACCTGGGCTTAACCATACAACCAATGGAATGGACTAGAGATGATTCTCCTTAGGGAGATAAAGCAAAGTTACATGGCAAAGGGCATATATAAATCTCTTCTAGGAGGGAAATGAATCATTATTCAATAATAATAATAATTTTGTTTGTTTGTTTTTGGGTCCAGTCATGGGGCCTGAACTCTGGGCTTGGGCGCTGTCCCTCAGCTCTTCAGCTCAAGGCTAGCACTCTACCACTTGAGCCACAGTGCCACTTATGGCTTTTTTCTTTTTTGCTTATGTGGTGCTGAGGAATCGAACCCAGGGCCCCATGCATGCAAGGCAAGCGCTCTACCACTGAGCTACCTTCCCAGCCCAATAATAATAATTAATAATAATATAATGCAGTTTATTCTAGTTCACAAACACAAAGGAAACAGACTTTTCTTGGAGAGAAGTACAAATTCAATAACCCTAAAATAGCTCCTGTGCTGAGAAAGTACTAGGGGTCACTTTAGAGCATTTGATACATTTTATTTCAGCATCACTTTCAAAAGCTGGGTGGTTAAAGTATTGCCGTTGCTGAGATCCTAGGAGAATACAGGCTTTCAGAATTAATAAGGTTTCCTTTCCACAGAGAAAGAGAAACATAGCCAAAAATCAATTGCACCTCCTAGGTTTAGGGCCCTGGAGCCCTATAAGTTCTTTTTAAAAACATTTGGACTACAGCTGCCTCTCCTTGCTAAAGTCCTTGAGTTTCATTAATCAGGGCCCAGGGGAATGGCTGGCTTTAAATTGCTCGGATGCTATTTGCTAGTTTTTTTCCTTCTTGTCATCTTCTAATGGGCAACATAGAAAAGAGAGACTATAATGTTAGAAGAAGCAAATAGATCCCTGGGGGGAATGGGACACAGGAAGATATCTTACTCTGTGTTTCATGCTTGCTGGTTTTCAAGACCTGTAGTAGGACATTGCTTAACACACAGCACCATCAGACCCTTAGAGTAACTCAAGAATTTGTGAAATACCTGTTTGCAAAGCGGTTTTGTCTCTTCCTTGTTGGATTCTTATGAGGGGGCTTACAGAACTTGTCTCTTCCCTCTGAGGTTTTCTGCAGGGTTAGAAGGAAATTTAACATGACTTTACCTCAGCAAGTTCTGGTGGCAGATGTTGTAAGACCTTAGAGAAAGGCTGGTATGAGTCTGAATCAGTGGATAGACATGTGATTCTTTTATCTGCGTAACACCGGGTCATATGCCAAAGCCATAAGTTATTTAATCACTGTTTGCTTTTAAGACTTAGGAAAGTTTCCATTATTGTCATTGTAGAGAAGACTTTGATTTTACTCCATGAGCACCTTTGCCTGCATTTTGGAATCCTACAATGGAATATTGGAGGTGTAGGATTCATGATACATTTTGTCAACTCTACACTTCTCCCGGTCATGAATGACAGATGTTTGTACTTTACAAATCTTCCCTTGACTCTTTTCCCTTCCTTTGGCCTAGACAGTTCCTGATTGGCATCCAAGCCTCATTGTCAAGGCTATTTTTGCTGAGAAATATTCCACCATCCCCTGGATAAGATTACAGTCTTTGCTAAGCTGGTAGTTTTCTACTTGAAGAAATTGCTTTTATATCATTGTTTTACTGTTCAAAAATGAAATTCACTTTCTATACACTATGACAAAAACATCAGGTTGTAAGAGGAGCCAGACGTCAGTGGCTCACACTTTTACTCTGAGCTACTTATGAGGCTGAGATCTGAGGACCATGGTTCAAAGCCGACCGGGGCAGGAAAGTCCATGAGACTCTTATCCCCACTAAACTATTTAAAAAGCTGGAAGTGGAAATTTGGCTCCAGTAGTAAAGTGCTAGCTTTGAGCACAAAGAGGCTTAGGGACAGAGATCAGGCCTTGAGTTCAAGCACCAGTATGGACCAGAGAACAAACAAACATTAAGGGGAATGAAAGTAAACCAATAAAATAATGCTCACACAGGCTGTGAAGCAGTCAGCTGGGAAGTTCCTAAATTTCTATGAGTGCTGCCTGTGTATGCAATCTGACAGCTATGTGGGTTGGGGTGACCCACCCTTGGCAGATTTTCAGGACCAGAAAGGGAAGAAGCTCTCCTTCTGTCTACATTCAGGGTTTCTTAAAATCATGTCCAATACTCTGTGTTTGCTAAATAGAAATAGAGCTAGATTGTGTGCTTAGTAACAAAATTTGTACCTGTGTGCTTGCCACATGCCCAGGACTTTGAGGAAGATCTGTGCTGTGTGATTTTCTCACTCTGCAGCTATCTGATGCTCTGATCCTTTGCACTCTCAGTAGTGCCCCACCCCCACTGTGATAATAATTAAAAATAAAAATAAGGAAATATCCCCACAAATTTCCCAAATGTCTAATCATAGAGCCTAACAAAAATCATTCTTAAGTAATAACTCGATGCCTTGCACCTTGCTGGACATCCTATGCTTTTTTTCACCTATTATTAAGTTGATGCTTAGTAGGTCTGACTCACAGTGCCATTGTCAGCTTAGGTCCTGGTACTTATTGATACCTTGGTGACATTACCACGGTGAGCAACGTAATTGTAGTGTTACCTCTAGAATTACTGTGAATGATAGGAGCAGTGTATACATGCATGCAGTAATTCTCAGGAATGCAAACACACTTTTTAGCAGTTGTGGATCTATCATTTGACTTCTCTTATTACAGCTATTAATGAAGCTATATATATAGCTTATTATTTCAAACAACCCTCTTAGTACTTTTGTTCTGATACTTGATTTGGCATATGAGGCTACTGTAGATTATGAACTTGTTTTTCTAGAAGCATTCTTAGGGTTTTTCGATATATTTTCTGTATTAGATGAAATAATTCCATGGTTTCTGTTTTTTAATCTATGTTGGGATTTGGTAAGAGCATTCTGAGAAAAATTAGTTGGAAGTTATTTCATATATAAGAATAACGTAGAACAAATTATATATGGTAATTATCTATTCCTTAAAAACTTTAAGGAACTTAAGTAGAGTACCTTCTGGGAGTTTTTCCCTGTGTGTGTGTGTGTGTGTGTGTGTGTGTGTGTGTGTGTGTGTGTGTGTGTGAATTATTTGGTAATGTTTTCAATTTTATTCATGGATTACATCTATTCAGATTCTATTCTTTTTCTCCTAAAATAACTCATTTTAAACATTCAAATATAATGACCCAAAACTGTATGTTTAATTATTATATTTTATTTTATTTATTTATTTTTCAAATTATTTATTGTGATTAAGTGGTTACATAATTTTCCAAATTTCTCAGTATTGTGGGCTAGTGATGCTTAGTTAAAGTCACAAACACATTCTAACTTTCATGAGGCAAATTGTCTATGATGGTCTATAACATTTATGAGTTCTATGAGCTTTGCAATACAGTTATTTCTTCCACATTGGGTGATATGTACATTTCTTTTGTTTTGCATAGCATCAGCTCTTCCCTCTTTCCCACTTGTTCCCTCCCTCCCATTGCTGCCATTGAGTTGCTTAGTTCATTTTGGTCAATGGGGTTATTTAGTAGTGATTCGACCAGATGAGTGAAGTACTTTTTTCTTAAGTCTTGTGAATTTTGTTGCATCACCTTACGTTTTGGATTTAACATCCACTTATCAAGGAGACCATGTGCCATTTGTCTCTTTGCTCTTGGATTACCTTGCTCAATATGATTTCTTCTAGCTCCATCCATTTCCCTGCAAATGCCATTATTTTGTCCTTTCTAATGGCTGCATAATATTCCACTGTGTATAGATACCACAATTTTTGGATCCATTCATCTGTGGTGGGACATCTGGGTTGTTTCCATATTTAATTATATTTTAAATATTTCTTAAGCTCTATGTGTTTGTGACATCTTTGTCACTTTTCACTTTGTGTGTTTCTGCTTAGTTTGTCCTTAATAGACTTGCCAGAGATTTGTCTTTTGTATCTGTATTCCCCAAACTCCCTCCAGTGACTCATGCTTATTCTACTTTACTTCATATTTTATTAATTTTTCTCTTATTTTTACTTTATCCTTTCTCATTAAATGATTTTCTATCACAGTTTCTCTGCTTCTCCTTCTTTCTTTCTCATCTACTGATCTTCTTTTTTTTTTGTTTTCAGTAATCATACCAGCTTATTCCATATGTTCTTTTGATTAATACTTTTTAGAAACAGTTTTGCTACACTGTATTTGTGAGCTTTTGTTGTTTACAAAGTAATCCAAAAGTGTGCATTAATTTAGGACATATTCCAGATTCTTGTGCTGTGGAACTCCATTGGCTTAAGATATTTATAAATATTTACTGTGGTTGCTTTGAGCTTAAAAGTAAACACACAAACCAAAAAATGACTAGCTGCTTTATACTATCACACATATATATGTATACACACTAAATAAATATAAATATACACTACTTAAAAGTTGCAGCATTTTGAGTACACTATTGTGTCATTACCAAATAATGGCACCATTGTTAATATAACTTCATTGATTAGGATGACATCTGTTTTATTTTTCTGTTTAGGTGCGAGACGATACTACCTTACTTGGGAAATTATGTAGCAATGAACTTTTGACTCCCCTTAGATCTATTACTAATAAAGTCTGGATCAGGTTTAAAACAGATGCTTCCATCCAAAGGGCCAGTTTTAGAGCTGCTTATCAAACTGGTAAGTGCCTAATTTAACTGACAATAGTATTTTAATTATTGACTTAATATAGTCATCTTATGTCTTCAAGTTGTAAGCAAAATATGCTTAGAAAAATGTCATTTTTAAGCCAGGCACTGCTGGCTCTTGCCTGTAATCCTAGCTACTTAGGAGGATGAGATCTGAAGATCACTTTTTGAAGCCAGCCCTGACAGGAAAGTCTCTGATCTCCAATTAACCATTAGAGAACCAGAAGTGTCACTGTTGCTCAAGTGGTAGAGCACTAGCCTTAAGCAAAAAGAGCCCCATGACTGAAAAAAAAAGAAAGAAAATGTCATGTTCTACTAGACACAAAATTAGGTCTTGTACAAAAATTGAGGGCAAAGGATTATTTGCGGGCAGATGCTACTTTCATTTTTATATTTACAGCTTGTGGGGGAGAAGTCACTGGAGAAGGAACCATTCGCTCTCCTTTTTATCCGAATGTTTATCCTGGAGAAAGGACCTGTAGGTGGACCATCTACCAACCCCAAAGCCAAATAATTCACCTCAATTTCACTGACTTCCATGTTGGAACTTCCACTAACTGTGATACAGATTATGTTGAGGTAAGAATAACAAAAGAGAAATCCCTTGTATATGACTACACATACTGTAGTATCTCCTGTGGCTATACATACAAGAATTGCTAAGAATATACTATGTAACTGAATCTAGACCTAGAAGTCCAGTTGTTCTAACATCCCCAAATCAATGAATGAATATATGATGTCAATAATCACCTTATTAGATGCAGAAAAAAAGCAGCCAGCAAAACCCAGCACCTTTTCATGACAAAAATTTAAGAAAAGGAACTTCCTTAATCTGAAAAAAGTCATTTATCTATTTAATTATTTATTTTGTCCTGGGGCTTGAACTCAGGGCCTGGGTGCTGTCCCTGAGCTGCTTTGTGCTCAAGGGTAACACTCTACCACCTGAGACAGAATGCCATTTCTGGATTTTTTTTTTTTTTTTTTTTAGTAGTTTATTGGAGATAAAAGGCTCACAGGGACTTTTCTGCCTGGGCTGGCTTAAACCTGTGATCCTCAGATCTCAGCCTCCTGAGTAGCTAGGATTACAGGTTTGAGTCACTGGCTCCCAGTAAAAGCATTTGTTAAACAACAACAACAATGAACATACAATATAATCTTTAAGCATGACATATAAAATGCTTTGGAACTTCATTGGACATTCTAGTGAAATGCTTTGCCTTATATCAGTAAAAACAAGTATTCTGTTCTTGTCGCTACTGTTCATGATATGGAATTTCTCATTAAAGCCATGGAACAAGGAAAAGAAACAAGATGTATCTTGAATGAAAAGGAAGGAGGAAAATGATCTTTATGCACAGATAACTGGAGCTTGTATAGAAATGGCAATACTCCCCAAATTGATCAAAAGATTCTATTCAATTCCTTTCAAAATCTCAGTAGTTCTTTGAATAAATTCTACAAGCCAATTGTAAAATATCTGTGAACCAGAATCACCAAAGCATGCTTGAGCAAAGTTGGAGGATTCACAGTTCCCAAGATCAAAATTTATTTTATTTTATTATTTTTTCTTGTGAAAATACCATACAAAAGGGTTACAATTACATGGACAAGGTAATGAGTACATTTCTCATCAAGCATTGTTGCCTCCTCCTTTGTTTCCCCTTCCCCTTCAAAATTTAGAACAAAGCAGCACTCAGTACAATGAACTATAGGAGTAGCAATGTAAATATTGATCCAGTGGAAAGATCGTGATGCCCCAAAATAAACTTGTATTTGAAGGACAATTGATTTATTGAAATGATGCCAAGAATTAAAATGTACTTTTTACAACAATTGTGTTGAACATCTACATTTGAAAGTATAAAGTTGAACTCTTTCCTTATGCTCTCAAATGTGGGTTCTATGGCCATGAAAACTTTTTAGATTATGACACAAAATGTACATACAGCCAAAGGGGAGGGAAAGATTCATCAGGCTTCGTTAAAATTGAAAATAACTTGGATTTAAAAATAGATAGAGGATAATAATAGGTATTTCTTTTTTTAATAAGTTTTTATTGTAAAAATACTATACAGAGGGGTTACAGTTACATGAGCAAGGTACTGAGGACATTTCCTATCAAGCGTTGTTGCCTCTTCCTTTGTTTTTCCCCTACCATCCAGGTATTTCTTTAAAGATAGAAATGGAGTGTAAGTATTTGATAATAAGCATTGCTCAATACCATTATTCTTCGGGAACTGCAAGTCAAAACCATGAAGTAGTGGTGCTTAGCCTTTAAGATGGCTATAATAAAAAACTCAGATAGTAATGAGGATGACTAGGGTGTAGAAAAACCGAACCCCTTTTCCATTGCTAGTGGGACTATGAAGTCATGAATGTTAAAGTGTAACCATACAATTCAGCAATTCACCACCAAAGAAGGGTTTTAAATTAAAGAGAGCTACACGAAAGTGAGCATGGGAATATTCCTGCAGTCATTGTTATCACATCATATGAAAATAGCATATACAATAATTATTGAGAATTTTAAAAGTAGAATCGACTTAAATATTCATCAACCAATGAATGAATAAGGAAAATAACACATTCAGCAGAATATCATATGGTATTAAAAAATAACTTGACTAATGATAATGTCAGGACATGGGTTAATTTTGAAAGCATGATACTTCTTAGGCCCAAAGGAACAAATATATAATTTTATTTTATTTATGTATTTATTCATTTATTTTTTGTCAGTTGTGTGGTTTGAACTCGCCCTGGGCACTATACTTGAGTTCTTCAGCTCAAGGCAAGAGCTTTACTGCTTGAACCACAGCAACATTTCCGGTTTTCTGGTGGTTAATTGGAGATAAGAGTCTCAGAGACTTTCCTTCTCAGGCTGGCTTTCAACCTTGATCCTCAGATCTCAGCCACCTGAGTAGCTAGGATTATAGGTGTCAGCCACCAGCACCTGGCATAATTTTTATTTGTTTTAAGGAAGGCCTGGAATAGCTTTTAGGGACAAAGAATAGCTTAGTACCTCCTAGACCACTGGTTTCAATGACTAGAGATTGGCTGTTAATGAGTATGAGGTTTTTCATTAGGTATTTAGAAATTGATTGTGTTCTCAAATTGATTTTAACTGCATCAACAACAGCATTTCAAAAATGATCATTCTTGAGACAATTTTCGAAAGTGTATTATATTGCAAAATACGTGTGGACGTTTCTGTTTTACTTCAGATTGGCACCAGCCCTATTTTAGGTTCTCCAGAGAATACAAAGTACTGTGCCTCCAACAGACCTTCCGATATAACCTCCATGCACAACATTCTCTATGTCACCTTCGTGAAAAGTTCTTCTCCTGAAAATCATGGTTTCATGGCTAAGTTCAGTACTGAGCATCTGGGTAAGACATCGTGTCTTTCTCTTTTTCAGCTGATAATTAGGATAAATTAACACTGGAGCTAGAAGTATAACTTAGTGGTAGAGTGCTAGTCTAGCATGGGAAAGGCCCTGGGTTCAACATAAGTCCCGGGCTGCAAAATGAAAGTTCCCCAAACTTTGTAAGCGTACAATAGAAATAAATCATGTAAACATTATCCTTATAGTGAAAAAGTAAAAAGTACACATAAAGACAATAGACAATCAACACATAACAACAGTTACTTGCTCTATTAATAAGTCCAAAAACACAAAAAACAAAAAAAACACGAGTTATCTTGAGTGACACATGAGAAGCAGCCTATTTAATGACTGTGAGATCCCTGCTGTGATCATCATTAGTTATTTATTTATTTACTTATTTTTAACAGCATGCGGAGAAGTTCTTACAGGGTCAACAGGAACCATCGTAAGTCCCGGCTCTCCTGTCTATCCCAATGGTGTCAACTGCACCTGGAATATATTAGTCCAGCCTGGCCACTTGATTCGTTTTGAGTTCAAAAAATTCCATCTGGAGTTCCATTCCAATTGTACCAAGGACTACCTAGAAGTTTATGATGCTGGTACAGAGACTTCTCTTGGCAGGTGAGGTTTTTTTCATGTGTGTATGTGTTACTTGGCTTACTTATTGCTTCATATTTTTTTTTTTTTCAGAGACGGGTAAAACCACTTAGCACCACTTTCTCTTATGTCTTCTTTTCAAGTTGATGACATATTTTTATCTTGTAGTCCTTGGTATATTTTGAATTACACATAAACCATGGAATGGTTAAATCTATACAATTAAGAAACATATTACCTTACTCTATTATTATTTTACTGGCAATAGCAAAAAACAGCATTACAAATATACAATATATCCTCAACTAGAGCCACCTTGCTTTGCAATAAATTTCTTGAAACTTATTTCTGCTTTCCAATGCTAATTATGTATCTTTTGACAAACATCTCTCCATCCTTACTTTTCCCTATTCTAAACACTGGTGGAAGGACTATTACTTACACTACTATCATAGAAACTGTTTTTTGTCAGTCATGAGTCTTGAACTCGGGGCTTTGTGTGATGTCTCTGAGCTTTTGTGCTCAAGGCTAGCACTTTCCTGGTTTGAGTCACAGCTCTACTTCCAGTTTTAGGTTTTGGAGATAAGAGTCTCATGGACTTTCCTGCCCTGGCTGGCTGGGAACTGTGATCCTCCGATCTCCTGAGTAGTTAGAATTATAGGCATTTTTAGAATCTTTTTTTTCTGAGTAAAAGTTATCATTTCTTTTTAGCAGAACTATGACATAGCTTATTAATTAAACTCCTCTCTCTCCATTGGTTGATTAAAGGCAGTAGATTGTACTTCTGTGGGGATTACTACTGAATGTACTGTTCTCACCTGCTATATAGACAGTTTATTCATTGGCAATATTCTTTTTTTTTTTTTTGGTTGGCCTTGGGGCTTGAACTCTGGGCCTGGGCACTGTCCCTCAGCTCTTCAGCTCAAGGCTAGCGCTCTATCACTTGAGCCATAGCGCCACATCTGGCTTTTTTCTTTTTGCTTATGTGGTGCTGAGGAATCGAACCCAGGGCCTCAGGCATGCAAGGCAAGCGCTCTATCACTGAGCCACCTTCCCAGCCCAAGAATTAGTGTTTTTTGAACTTACACTATCTTGTTTCCCTTCATTACATTTTGATGACAAATTTATTAATGTGCTATGTGGTGGTTTACTATAACTTATGCTTTCTAAATTTATTAAAATTTCTCCAATGTGTAAAGTGATACAGCCACACACACAAGACCATTTTGCCAAAGTAATCATGATCTGTAGCAAGTGTGTAAATTAGTTTTAGTGAACTATAATTGTTTTTGTTAAAGCGATTAAAAGTGGATAACAAAGCCATTATCATAATTACATGTCCTACGTTTTAATATGCCATTTCAAACATTTCAATTGAACGTTCTAAGACCCATGTGTCTCTTCTTTCTTGGTTTGGAATAGATACTGTGGAAAGTCCATCCTGCCATCTCTTACCAGCAGAAGCAACTCAGTAATGCTGATATTTGTGAGTGACTCTGATCTTGGTCGTGAAGGCTTTGAGATAACGTATACCTCAATTGATGCATCAAAAGGTAACAGATCAGCATAACATGCTTGCTCTCATTGGTTCCTTTGGAAACATTACTGACATTTTCTAACGCACAAGGAGAATACATCATCCTAAGTCTGTGCCCCACAATGAAAGCTGTATTTTGGAGAAGTATAGCAGCTTACAAATAGTGCAATGATTAGACAGAGATATTGTATCAATATTGATGCAATTAAATATTAATTTTATGCTATACTAAAATTAATACAAATATTGTTGTGTTGAGTTCATTTCACTGAATCATTTATATTAATTCAATACTAGTTACTTTTCATTTTCCCTCAGTATTGTTTTCTAAATTTAATAATTGTACTCTGGTTTTGTTTTTTTTCTGTAAGGGAATGTGATTCTTCTTTGGAATAGTACACTGGTCAGTCATGCTAGTACATGCCTGTAATCCCAGCTACTCTGGAGACTGAGGCAGAGAGATAGAGTTCAAAGCAGCCAGAGCTACATGGTGATACTCTTTCTCCACCCCCTTTCCCAATGTACAAGAATAGAATTCTGAAGTTGGGGGATAAAAACACACAATTCTTATAAGTAACTGTGAATGGTTCAGTTAACAAGTGAGTAATAGAGGCAGAGTGAAGTAAAGAATAAGAATAGGCCCGGGCATTGGTGGCTCACACCTGTAATCCTAGCTACTCAGGAGGCTGAGATCTGAGGATCATGGTTCAAAGCCAGCCAAGGCAGGAAAGTCCATGAGACTCCTATCTCCAGTAAGCCACCAGAAAACCAGAAGTGGCGCTGTGGCTCAAGTAGTAGAACACTCGCCTTGAGCTGAAGAGCTGAGGGACAGTGCCCAGGCCCAGAGTTCAAGCTATACAACCGACAAAAAAAAGAAAGAGAAGGAGAATAATACAAAAACTATGATACAGGGCTGGGAAGGTGGCTCAGTGGTAGAGTGCTTGCCTTGCAAGCCGGAGGCCCTGGGTTCGATTCCTCAGCACCACATAAGCAAAAAGATAAAAGCCGGAAGTGGCGCTGTGGCTTGAGTGGTAGAGTGCTAGCCTTGAGCTGAAGAGCTGAGGGACAGCACCCAGGCCTAGAGTTCAAGCCCCACGACCGGACCCAAAAAAAAAAAAAAAAAAAAAAAAAAAAACTATGATACAAAGTATAATCACTCTTGTAATTTTTGATCAAGTTGAAAATTCTATCCAAACAAAAAATTACTAATTAGACAAACCTTGTTTTATGAAAATAACAACAGAACTAGAGCAGAAGAAAATAAAAGAGAACAGCAGTGAATTCTACAGCTGCCAACCAGCACTTTCTTGGCAAAATGTACATTTTTCTAAATTTGACCTAATGGAATCGAGCCTTTTCGATATGTCTTCCTTTATGTTCTCCTTTTCTTACTATTTGCTTTTCATCAGTCTTTTATTCCTTGAAAATGCAGCATAGTAAGAAGACCTTTGCAGGCAATTTCTTTGAGATAGGTGGTTTAGAGATGCTCTTACCCAGAGCCTATGGCACTTAGAAGGGCATCAGGTTTTGCTAGGTTCAGGGTTGCCCTTGAGATGTGGGCCATTTTCGTAAGCCTGGATGCATCATGTCAGGGAAGACATTTAATGGACAGTTATCATCAATGCAGATCTGTAGTAGACCTAAGGTGACCCTGCTTACTAAGCATCCCACAGCCTCTGGATTGTTCTAGAAAAATAATACCATTTATTCAGCCCCTTTTGAGAAAAAACTGGGAGCTTTTCCTGTATCTTGGCATGTTCCTTCAGCACAATCTTGTGTCTGGAGATCTCCAGACATTCTTTTGTGTGTGGTTGCCAGCCAGTCCTGTGGCTTGAACTCAGGGCCTTGGCACTCGCTGTACCTGAGCTTCTGTTTGCTCATGGCTAGCTCAGTACCACTTGAGCCACAGTTTCACTTTCAGTTTTCAGGTGGATAAGAGTGTCACAGGCTTTCCTACCCTGGCTGGCTGTGAACTGTGATTCTCAGATCTCAACCTCCTGAGTAGTTAGGATTACAGGTGTGAGCCACCACCACCATGCATCCAGCGCAAGGCATTCTTTTAAAGTCTCTATTCTGTGTAATAACTCTCCCACTTGGAACAGTTACCCAATCTCTCATTTGTTTCTCTTCAGGGGGTCTGTCCACTTCTCCTCCATTCTAGGCAAAAATCACTATTCTCTGTAATAGTTCAAATTCTGTTTTCAATGCATACGTTTAGATATCCTGCTTGCAACCGAATATGTATTTTTATCTCTGATGAAACCCTGTGGAGAAAATCATTCATGATTCAGCCATAGCACATGTGAAATGAAATCCTGAGGATTCATAATTGATTCTGTGATTGATGTGTTTCCTGGATTCTGTTCAGTTGGTTAACATCCAAGAGCCTAACTTGGTTTCTCAAGAAATTACAGTGTGCACATAATTTTCCGTATTTCTGTAGTTTTATCTGTCCCATATGTTTGGCCCCAGATCACACTGAATATTAAATTTGGAGTAAATCACTTGAACTCTTTGGGCTCCAGTTTTCTCATCTATGTAATTAAAGGGTTAGATTTGATGATCTTTGAAATGTCTCCTAGTTCTGATCATCTATGTACATAATTTTAATTTGTTGCATGAATGAACTGGCTGTCTCTTAAATAACATATACTTTAGGCAGGGCATCCTAAACATACCACAGACATCGTTGTAATAACATGCAAAGTAGGACACAGCTCTGTAAGAAGTGAAATGACTCCTGATACTCTGCTGGCTTTTGAGGCAGTATTTCATTAGAAACAACTAAGAACAAATGAAATCATGGGGCAAGGAGCAAGTTAAAATTTAATTAAAACAAGTTTTTAGGAAGGTAAGAGACAAGTTAAATGAAGGTAAATTAAACAAAAGCAAACAAGTGAGCATACACAGTAAGGAACTGATAAAAGAAGTAAGATAGGGATTGTAGCTCATCCATAGCAATGGCTTGTTATGCACAAGACCCCACTTTAATAATCCCAGCATGGGGGGAGGAGAGAGAAAGAGAGAGAGAGAGAGAGAGAGAGAGAGAGAGAGAGAGAGAGAGAGAGAGAGAGAGAGAGAGAATGCGAGTACGAGAGAGAGAATCCACACTGACTTTCCTATGAATTATTCATTATTTTACCTTCTATTTGGTCCAGACATATCTGAAATCACAGACCAAAAAGTACATATGTTCACCTTGGGTTGGGCTGACTGGTCAGTGTATGCCTGCTTTTTGCTGAATAAACTCATAGGTCTGACTAACAGTTAAATCATTCCAAAGATGGTCAGATTCAGGAAGCCATATGGCACCATAAGCTTATAAATCTGGGTCCTATCTCCGTTTCCGTAAAGCAGGGTGTGAGCTATTGGCTTGCAAGCTGAGAGATGGCTTTGTGTATTTTTCAGAGAAGAGCTGGGTTTAGGAGTATTTCACAGGAAGTCAGGCTGGCGGAACCCAGGCAGTGGGCTGGTCCTTCAGGGAAGTCTCAGTCAGAAGCAGCTTCTGACTTGAAAACACAGAGATGGTAGGTGGAGAAATTATCAGTCCTCATCTTCTTTAGATGTCTTTCTGTGGAATGAAATAGTGTCAGGGGAAAGCATTCATGGCAGCTTGGTTGCTGGCCCTGAACCTATTTTATCGTTCTAGCAGAAATCTTTTTCAGAGCCCTAGTGTTGGTTTTGGTTGCTAGCTTCTAGCTCCTCAGCACAGCCAGTGTGCGTTTCCTGCTGATATATTTCCTGCCTTCTTCTGATAAAGCTGAGAATTCTGGAGTCAAGCTCAGTTACTTTTCCATCTGTGGTTCATGCCTCGTGGCTGTGGTGCCAGCTCTTAGGTATGCATTTGGGAGGGAAGCGATCAGTTCTTGACTTCTTCCCTCATCACTCTGGGTTTCCCTCCATCCAGATGTGCCTGGGATATAAAAATGAAAGAAGTAGCAAGTAAAATATTGCCAGGTAGAAATTCATGTGGTAGTTCTAAGTCAATGATCATGAGCTTCGCAGTATGTGCTGCTTTTAAAGTACAAAGTATTTGAATCTTTAAGGAATATATTTGGATAACGACCAACTTAAACTGTAATTTTATATTGTACTAATATCTATTACACATACATTAAAAAGTAGTTCTTGTAAGAGGGGATTCTAAGTATATAAGCAAGAGATTGGGCATAGTGGTAATGCCTATAATCCAACTATGGAAGGAGGTAGAGATAGGAAGATCAAGATCTAAACCTAGACTGGGCAAACGTGTGAAATACTATAAAACCAGACGAACAAAAACAATCTGTTTGTAACATCTCTGTGATGTAAATGCATATTTAGGACATTAAAACCAAGGAGATAATAGTCTAGAATGTTGAACCTATCTTCTTCCCTAAAATTATCTTTTCCAGTTAGTCAGTCTAGGAGCCAAATAAATAATCAGATCCCAACATATAATCTGTATCTTTTGCTAGGTGTTGGCTAGCTCCTTTAAATTCTGTAGATGAGCAGCATATAGGATGGCCGGTAACATTATAGTAGTGCAATGGCAAACTTATCCTTTTCTGCAAAAGAAACTTTACAATTGTGCTGGGAAATGACAAAAAACCAATATAAGTTAAAAGTGAGCCCCAATGGGCTTCCCCCAAGTTCCTTATTTCCCACATAAAGTGCTCACCAACTCTGTAGAAGGGGGATTAGATTTTGTCAGTTAACCTGGAATGAGCCTAGAAAGGACATACAGGAGTAGGAAGTGAGGAAATAATCATCAGAAGGATGGTAGCGCACTTACTTGGAGGAAATGGGCAGGGATAGCTCTGCTTCTATTTGTGTGTGTGTGTGTGTGTGTGTGTGTGTGTGTGTGTGTGGTCGGTTGTGGGGCTTGAACTCAAAGTTCTGGGTGCTGTCCCTGAGCCTCTTTGTGAGAGTTCTGCTCTATCACTTGAGCCATAGTGCCATTTCTGGTTTTTGAGTTGTTAATTGGAGATAAGATTCACATGGGGACTTTTCTGCAGGGGTTGACTTCAAACTGCA